TAATCTTTTTTAAATTTAAGTTATAATGTTTTTTATTCGTTTAGTATAGACAAAACGTGACAAAACGTCGAGAAATTAAACAAATGTTTTTACATTTTAAAAAACAAAACATTCCAAAACATTTTTAAATAATAACATTTCTACATAAACGATTTAAAGTAGTTTTGCGGTAATTAAGTAAATTGGTGCAGTTAATGTCGATAAATATGAAAAGCAAATAAAAAGAATTTAATGACATCAAAAATCGCGTCGTGCTTATGCGTCGCGCAGTTCTTATTCATCGCAAGGCCTGGGGTTGGTGTTACGGTCATCGAGCACGACTATTTTCCTAATCGCAATTACTGTCACCGCAAAAGAGGATTTTTGTCTGTGGAAGATGCCTGTGCTAGCTTTTTAGTCATAAGTCAGTTATAAATCCATGCATAGGTGTTTAATCCATCATGGTTTTCTGGAGTATGGCTGGGCTGGCTTGGTTTAGTTCAGAGACAAATCTTTTACGCTGGTTACTTACAATACAAGACTCTACTGAACGACATAAACAGCACAGACTTACACATTACACCTATACACCCTTATGCACATACAGCCTGTTTACATCTTTTGCATGCTTTTTGTTCTTTCATAGATAAACTATCTTTGTTTGAACTCATCCTTATTTAGATAATATTTTCTTTTAATAGATATGTTGTTGAAATGTAGATACAGATTTGTATGTTATCTATATGTGTTTATCATGTGTGATTGAATTTTCGTCGCTACAGTAAAATGAGTTTAATTTTGATACAAAATTTAATTATTTTATTATATTAATATTAATTTTTTAATTCAAACATGTACATATAAATACAAGATAGAAAAAATTAAATAAGGAGTAAATAAAAAAGTACATATACAGTCATTTACAACAACCCATTATTCGGAGAGTCTTGATATTCAGTAAACCAAACCAACATAGAAATTTCTTTAAAAAACTATCTGCTTTGTGTTTAATTCCTCCTCTGTCAATTTTTGGTAACTCCAAAGAAAGTTGAAGGTTTCTGAAAAAATCTATTTTATGGCACTAAAAAGAAATGTAAGTCCTACAAAAATATTATCCAATATTACATAAAAAATTTGCTTTCGGTATTAGGATTTCAAGGGAGATTCGCCTACTTCACTCATTTTACTCACATTTTTATTGTGGAATTGTTTTCTGCTATCGTTCCTAAACAACTTTATTTCTTTATCAAGCTAGATGCAACAAACTTAGCTTCATTCCACATTGCTTTCTAACTGTCACGAATAGCTACTAATTGTGAAAGTAAGCTTTCTATATTTGAAACCTATCTCTAAAGTCGCGTTACTGGCTTGAATGACTTTGTTGCTAATGTCAATAGGAATTAATATTCTGTGCCACAGGAATCTCATTTCTAGTTTTTGGAGTAAGATTTAGCTGAAGCAATTCTATAAAAGCCAGCTTTACTCCAGGAAAGTGAGAGACAAATAGTTTGACACTCTCTATTGGATCTGACCACCTGGTGCCAGATATGCCGTGAAGGGAACAACAAGATGCATAGCGAACTAGGTAATGTAATAAATGCTGTTTGCTCAACATATGTTGAGCAAACCATATTTACTAAACTCTCATGGGCCCTGCTTTAAAATTATTGCCCTAATTTAAAATTACCAATAGTTTGGTTGCCAAACCATTCGGAGTTTGGCAAAATATTGTCGCCGAACGATTGGATTTTGTGTTCTGCTAAAAACAGGATTTGTCGCATCCCTTATTTGTATATATATATATATATATATATATATATATATATATATATATATATATATATATATATATATATATATATATATATATATATATATATATATATATATATATATATATATATATACTCTAAAAACTGACATGGCTGCTAGTTAATATTCATATATAGTTGTTAATAATATGATAGTTATTGATTCCAAAAATATAATTCATATTCATCAATTATACTTTTTTTTTTTTTAAATTAAAATTGTTTATCTTGTAAACCTATGCAAAACATAATGATCTTTATTTACCTTCCAAACAAATAAAACTTGAAATTCTTTTTTGATTAATTTAAACCCATGATGATGATGCATCTTGATAATGACTTCTATAAAACTCAACAAATCCTTTTATATACATTACTGATCATTAAACTTTATTAGTTATTTAAAATCAACTGTTAAAAAAAAAAAGTTTTAATTAGCAAAAAAGCTTTTTTTTTTATCCAAATTGATGTTTGTTTCATAATAATATATACAAAATTAAACTTTGACAAAGTTCTTTAATTTCACTATGAAAAAATTAAAGAACTTTATCAAAGTTTTTTCTCATACCTCAACTGTTTAATCAATTTGGTTTATGTTGTAATGGGTACAGATCTCACCTTTCAGTTGTTTCTATAAGTTCTCAATTGGATTCATATCTTAAGGGTTTGTGGGCTATTTAAGGACTTTTATAGAGCTTATCGCAAATCTTTCCTTTTCTTTTTTTCCAGTGTGACATGGGGAACTATCTTATTGAAAAATCCATTTATTTTAAAAGAGTGTCTTGTATACTATGAAGATCATCATTTTTGAGAATGATGATCTTCATAGTATGATCATATATGCAAGATTACATACATACATACATACATACATACATACATACATACATACATACATACATACATACATATATACATACATACATACATACACATATACATATATACACATAAAAAAAAAACCAAATAGGGTTTTTTTTATTTGTATATATGTATATATATTTAAACCAAATAGGAAAATCTTTCCGAAGAACTGCTAGCCTTAGCATAAATCCTTGTGTTAAGAGGTTATGCAGTGGAAGATATCAACTTACAATTTACTAAAGCCTTACAATTTAATCAAAATCAACTAATTAATAAACCCCCACGAATATAGATGCAGATATTTTACCAATAGTGACTCCTTATTGTGATATTGGTAGAGATTTCAATAACATTGTTGTGAAGCATTGCCATATTATTAGAGATGACCTAATTTAGCAGAAATATTTCCATTGATACCCACACCTATTACCACATCGATTAAAGATATTTTAAAACATTTGGCCCTTGTATAATGTGTACATACGAAGTTTAGACCATTTTTTGTATATTTTGGGTCAGATATATATCAGAAACAAAAGCACACTCCCGCGGAAACAGCAATTATGTATGTCACCGTATCTGTACGTTATAGTTATATTACTAGGAATCAGCGTGAAAAGTTCTAATCCTGAAACACATCTAGCAACCCAGCCATACTACAAATGACCTTTGATGGATATAGAATCCTTACATAGGATTTATATTATCTTCTGGTTCTAAAAGTTAGCTCAGATATATACCAGAAACAAAAGCATTCTCCCGCGGAAACAGCAATTATGTACATGACTGTATCTGTACAGTATAGTTATATTACTAGAAATCAGGGTGTTAACTACTAATCCCAAAACATCCAGCCATACTTTCCGATTAAAAAATATATTTTTGACCACACATTTCAACTTTTGAAGAGTCTGTTTTAATGTTTGTAGATCACTGTTTGTACAGAAACATTCAGTTTTTTATCAATTTCCTTCTGCTTCAGTACACTGTTTTCAAGCATAACTTTTTTTTGACCTTTTTTCTTTGCGCTCATTCCTTTTACCCATGTTCAATTTGTCACTAATAAAAATGATAAATTCTGTAAATTTCCAGCAAAAAGTTTTTTTTGTTTAGAAACAAAAGTATAACAGATTGAATACCATTCCAACACACTGACTTAAAAACTGATTGAAAAGTCTAGACCCATTTACTAATGTTCTTCCATCTGATGTTGCCATGTTTAGGGAATAATCAGAATTCCATTCGATTTTTTCCTATACCTGGTTAAGTAAGACCTTTTGCTAACTTGTGCTGTTTATTTTAGTCTCTTCAACAAAAACTTTGTTTAACTAGGATTTTTATTTTAAATTGCATATAAGTGTATATAATAAAACTTCCAATACTTCAATAAAAGTTCTTAACTTTGAATGCTTGAAAATAAAATACCTTTGCATCAAATATAATTATAACTAAACATTTTCAGATCTTCCATTTGGTTCTTTGATTTGGTAAGGCTTTGATTAAATTCAATTTATTAATAAATTATATTAAAAATTCAAAAACATCAATTAAAATTCAAAACTTTCAAAACTTCAAAAATTCAAAACTTAAAGAAAGCTAACTTTAATAAATAAAATACATAATACTAAAAGAACTCAACAAAGGAGATTATCTGTATCTAAATGAAAGAAGTATGGCATTCCAAAGCAAACATTGTCTGGGTGGTCAAAAGAAGAAAACACAATATACTCAAAATTAAAAACAAAAAAAAACCTTGCAAAAAGAGTGCGGATGCAAGTCATTTGTCTAAGAAATAATAAGCATGGAACTCTCATTTCTATTCCATTTCCCAAAATCAATAATTTATCAATCCAGCTCTTTTGTTTTAATTTATTTAAATTATTAAACACTTCACGAAACTCATTTATCTCATTAAAACACTTCACGAAAAGCAAATAAAGCTATAAAACCAGTTCAAATAAAATTTATGTTGATATTAAAATTGCTTAAAATTAATTTGCATAAGTGAAGGTCAAAATGTTACCTATAAATATATGTACTCTCAATACAAACAAAACAGGTTGTCTTGATTAGAAGTCACAAAATCTCGATAAGTTGGACATTAAAAAATTAACATAACAAATCTCAAAAAGTTTGATATAACGAGCATAAGGGGTATATGTAGATATTTATCAAATAAATGGTTTTATTGAGTTAAACTGTTGTTTTTAAATTAAAATGTTTACGGTATTGATCATTTATACATAATGTAATCTAATGAAAACCTTGAAATTGTTGATATATAGATTAATTTGTTTTTAAATCTGTCAAATAATAACTAGAATAAACTTTTTATTACTTATTTAGAAATTCTAAAGAACCAATTACTTTTGAGTACTTTCAAACAAAAAGGCTTGGCAAATTCTGGTAAAAATATTTTTATTGTTATTTGAAAAACATTTTTGATTTTAAAAATATTCTGTTTTATGAATTTGTGATGTATTACTTTGATTTTTTTAAATTATTTTTTTAATTGGTTTTGGTTTTTGTTACGACATTGATTCATTTTTACTTTTAGTTGATTTCACTTTTAATTTATTTTTGTTTAAGAAAAAGTTTATTTTGCTGATCAGATTAAAAAATTTTATAATAAAGATCTTACTATTGAAATCATCATACTCTGTATTGAGTATGATGATCCTCATGGTACTTAGTATAATCTTCAAAGTATTGAGTATGATGATCCTCATGGTACTGAGTATGATCTTCAAAGTATTGAGTATGATGATCCTCATGGTACTGAGTATGATCTTCAAAGTATTGAGTATGATGATCCTCATGGTACTGAGTATGATCTTCAAAGTATTGAGTATGATGATCCTCATGGTACTGAGTATGATCTTCAAAGTATTGAGTATGATGATCCTCATGGTACTGAGTATGATCTTCAAAGTATTGAGTATGATGATCCTCATGGTACTGAGTATGATCTTCAAAGTATTGAGTATGATGATCCTCATGGTACTGAGTATGATCTTCAAAGTATTGAGTATGATGATCCTCATGGTCTGAGTATGATCTTCAAAGTATTGAGTATGATGATCCTCATGGTACTGAGTATGATCTTCAAAGTATTGAGTATGATGATCCTCATGGTATTGAGCATGATCTTCAAAGTATTGAGTATGATCTTCAGAGTATTGCAATGATGATCTTCATAGTATTGAGAATGATCTTTATAATATTGAGAATGATGATTTTCATCATATTGAGAATGATGATTTTCATCATATTGAAAATCTTCAAAGTATTTAGAGTGATGCTCTTCATAGTATTACTATGAAGTACATACATCTTCATAGTATTATGCACGTCATAGTATCTTCATAGTAGAGTGATAGTCTTCATAGTAGAGTGATAGTCTTCATAGAATGATCTTTAAAAATATTGAGTTATGATGATTGTCATAAATCAAGTATAAAGATTGTATTGAATATGAAAAATTTTCTTTTTTTTGTTTTATAGTGATGATGAGTCAATAACTCCTTTGACTGAGTTCAAAGTGCTCAAAATAAGTCCTCGAAATATTGTAAGTTGTTTTTCATATAAACTAATCTCTTAAGTTTAAATTTTTTATGTAATTTTTTGTTTAATTTTTTATCAGGAGCCAGTCAGCAGAATATTCTCATTATCTGAAAATTGCATAGTAGAGCGAGACCCAGCAACATATCATATCTGTTCAATACAACCTCTTAGTAATGTAAGTAAATTCATTTTATCATATATGTTCGAAACAACCTTGTGGTAATGTAAGTAAATTCATTTTATCATATATGTTCAATACAACCTTGTTGTACTGAAAGTAAATTCATTTTATCATATATGTTCAATACAACCTCGTGGTAATGTAAGTAAATTCATTTTATAATGAAAGATTTCCATTAATTTCCTAATAGAGCTTTAAGCATTTGTTAAAATTTATATATCAAAAAAAGTTTTTTTTTAGATTATTGCAAAACTGCTATAGATATGAAAGGGTGTTTTTTTATAAATATGAAAGCTATTAACTTTTCTTGTTTTATTTAAAACATTTTAAAATTATTTTTTCAAATTGATATATACTGCTAAATACTGTCTAGGAGAGAATTGTCTAAACAGAAATAGCCTCTTAATTAAAGTTAATTTATTATTATTTAGAAATAAAAGATCTTATATTGTAGAGAGAAAATAGAGATAAAGATATGTTGTATTTTTCTAGTTAAACATCTTGTTTTGTATGTTTGGCTGTGTTTTGAATATTCTACCCAAGTATACATATTGATTTAATGCAATTTTTTGTTGTCATTCGATTTAATATTACTACTTGACCAGGGTAAGCTAAAAAACCATAGATTATTTTTAATGAGATGACATATAGTAAAAACATATACAATATGATAAAATTTGATTTATTTTGTAACCTTAGCTTATAAGTTGCTGTAAGCACAGTTTTTCTGTGATATAACAAAATAGTTTATAGCAAAAAATATAGTTATAAGAAAAAAATTTAGTTAATTAAAGCTAAAATTTCATTAAAATAAATGATTTTTTTTATTACTAGTTTAAATTAAAATTTAAGCCAAAAATTAAGTATTTTATAGATGAATTATTTTTATTCTAGCTTTTAAATAAAAATATTTTTGGCATCAATTTTTGTTGGCTTAAATGTTTTTTTTTTTTAATAAATAAATTATTTGTATTAATTTACAAAACAGGTTGCCTTGATTAGAACACATGGTGTGTTAATAAATTTTAGTTTAATCCTAAGGATGTTTGCCGTAAACAAAAATATACGAAAAATTTCATATTTTTATCTTATTTCGTATTTCAAGTTGCTATTGTGGAAGTTGTACTTGCGCAAATTTACTTTCCGTAACGCATTGTACAAAAAAAAAATAATAATAATTCCATAGTAACCCTATACGAAAAGAAACTTGAGAAACAAATCATTTCAAAAGAATACTTGCAAAACAGTTCATTACTGAAGGAGCATTTACGGAATAGACTCGAAAGCATTCATTAAACTGTTATACAAAAAAAATGTTATTATTTATTATTTAAATAAAAAAATGTATAATATATATATATATATATATATATATATATATATATATATATATATATATATATATATATATATATATATATATATATATATATATATATATATATATATATATATACAGTGACCTTGAAAGGTTATTTAGGATAGGGGGGGATGGATGTGAAGCAGAAATTAAGGGGGCCTAATGCAGCTAAAAGTAAAAACTGAAACATTGAGTTAGTTGTGAGAGAGCACGTATAACAGTGCACCTCAAAAATAAAAAAGTTGAAACTAAATTAACATAATATTTTTCTATTTGAAAACAAGTGGAAGCTATTTTTAGGCATTTTATTATATAACTAAGTTTTAACATTCATCACTTCAAATAAGTCTTTTTTTTAATTCAACAAAGGCATTGTTTCCTGATTACACAATTGCATTCGTATGTTAATGTTGTTCAAGTTATCTTCATTATTTAGTTCTTATTCATTAAATGACATTCTAAAAAGTATATTTTATGAAAATATCGATTTTTTTATAAAAGTTTAACACTGAAACTTATCAATATCATATAAAAAATTAGTATTTTAAGTACTTAGTTAATTATACATATTTGATTCATTAAACATAGTTAAATATATTTATTATGCTGTGTTTTGTAAGTTTTTTTTCCGTTAAGAACTGTGAAAAAAAACTTACAAAACACAGCAATTTGCGATGCCAAAAAGTTTTGTTTTAAAAGAAGTTTAGTTTTTTATCATTATTTCAAAAAATAAAGCCTAAAATGTTCATATGTTGCAATACTGAAAATAAAACTTTATTGTAAACATTTTGGTATTTAAGACATATTATTTACAATTATATCCGTTTGGCATACAAAATTTTTTTATAGACTTCAAAACGTTGTTTAATGAAAGAGAAAAATTAAAATAAGATTCTCAATATCCTTCCGAAAGAATTTTACTTTTCCGGAATTTTATAAAATCTTCTGGTTAACAACTCTAGTTTAATCTTAATAATATTCATTAATGTCAAATGAAACTAAAAGTGACTTGACAATTAAAATTAATAAGTGATTTGACATTAATAAAGACTTTCAAAGGTTTTTTTTTCAAAGGCTTTACTTGATGAATCAAAGATTTTTTATTTGAGCGTTCTAATTTAGCCAACTCTCCCCTAGTCATAATACAATAGATTGTGAGCAGTCATACTACAATGAACATGAGTCATACTACAATGAACATAAGTCATACTACAATGAACATGAGTCATACTACAATGAACATGAGTCATACTACAATGAACATGAGTCATATTACAATGAACATGAGTCATACTACAATGAACATGAGTCATACTACAATGAACATGAGTCATACTACAATGTACATGAGTCATACTACAATGAACATGAGTCATACTACAATGAACATGAGTCATACTACAATGAACATGAGTCATACTACAATAAACACGAGTCATACTACAATGAACATGAGTCATACTACAATGAACCTGAGTCATACTACAATAAACATGAGTCATACTACAATGAACATGAGTCATACTACAATGAACATGAGTCATACTACAATGAACATGAGTCATACTACAATGGATTATGAACAGTATCATTAAAAATGTTTATAGCATCCTTTTTATGTTGAAAGTTTTTCTTTCTTTTTTTCTTAATTTTTAAATTTTTTTCTTAATTTTTAAAATCAGTTTTTTTTTAGTTATAAAACCATAGTTTTGTTGTTATATTATAAATGCTGTGTGATCCTGGTCTTGTTATCAAATTTGAAATCCCATTATTTCAATTTTTATTTTTAAAATAATTTTAATCAAAATTTTTGATTTTTTTAAATTTTAGATATCAAGTAAACATTTTATTTTTACATAAGTTGTTATTAGAATTATTATAAGTTAAAATTTTTATAGAAATTCCTATAAATATTATATTCTTATATAAATTGTTATATTGAAAAGTTTTATAGAAAAAATAATTGAAGGAAGTTCACACAAAATTGTGTTCATATTAAAATTTAGAAATTAAATAAAAATGTTTTGCATTTGTCAAACAAAGTTAATAAAGTAAGACATTAATATAGTTTAAACCTCCTTCAAAATTTATTTAAAACTAAAGAATTCAAAGTTAGAATGTTTTTATGTAATATGTAACTTGATGATTGTCTAAATTTAATTTTTTTTCAATGGCATTACCATGTAATAGTTATTATAAGATAATTTTCATTGCTTTGTTTTAGAGATATGAGAATTTTCATTGCTTTGTTTTAGACATATTGTTCTTATCACTAAACGTATTGGAAAATTAAAAGTAAAAAGTTTAAAATTAATTTTTTCTGTTGTGCCAATTCTGAGGTTCTTGTTCCAGTTATTAATGGTTTATTTTCTTCAAATGAAACAAAATAAAGATAATAAAATGTTATTTGATTATAATTTTTTTTAATTCTAAGCGTTGAAAGTCTTTTTTAATCAAATTTAACTTTTATGAACTTTATTTTTAAAAAGAGTTCAAAGAAAATTTTCAAAGAAAAGTAACCTGATACAAAAAAAATGTCAGTTGTTAACAGATGAAAAAAAAACAATCTTTCTCACCATTTTTAAAAATTGTTTCATGAAAATTGGCATTTTATACAGAACTTATTATAACAATCGGAAAAGTTGTATTTTTTTAAATTTTTTTCCTTCTAAAATCATTAAAACAAGTTTATCTAAAATAAATTCATCTAAGATATCAAAAAAATTTTAAAAGGTGATTTTAACATAAAAAATTTTAATATTATTTTGTTTAGATATTTGCTCTTGTTCGTTATCCTGATAATCCACAATTATTTGATATTGAGTATGTAAGTGGTTTTTCTCGAAAATACTTATGCACAGAGCGAGATGCTTTACTAGCCAGTTTAGTGGATGGTGTTCGTGCCAGTGGAAATCAAGAGGTTCATGTTCAAATGACTCCAACTAAAAGAGGTGAATTTTTTCTTAAACAATTTTACATGAAATACTAAAATAATTTATATCTAATCTATGGAATAAAGTAGTTTATATCTAATTTATGAAAATTCCGTTAATAAAAAAGTAGTAATGATTATATAAATTGCACATATAGAATGCTTAATAATTATAATTGCACATGTTAGAAAGCTTGCTTCATAAGCAAGAGGTTCTGACCTCAATCCTCCTCACATTCACATCTTTTTGCTCTTGCATTAAAATGTCATTGCTAGTACTAATGCAAATCAAAAACAACCCCCCAAGTGTGAAAACTTTTTCAAAACTTGGACCATTACAAGAGTTACTTGTTTGCTAGCTGATCAGCAAATGATTTTTTTTTAATTTTTATTTAAGATTAAAACTCAGAGTGTCCTCAATATATACCAATTAAGGGATTGTCCATAAAGTACGTACGCTCGGAGAGGAAGAGGGGGTCTTCAAATGGCGTTTCTGAGATAAAGGGGCAGTAGGTCAATTATAAAAGTATGGAGACACTAAATTAAAAAATATCATATAATGTTGGGTTGGTAGGTTAAAAGCATAGGTACTTTTAGGTAGGTAGAGGATACTCAAAAAAGTGTATGGCAAAATTGGGGGGGGGGGAGGTTGGGGAAAAAAAGTGTTTGTACTTTATGAGCGACCCCTAACTAGAGCATAAAAGATGGGTGATAACTGGTGTGAAAGCTTTTGGACTAAAGCAAGAAATCAGTTCCAAATAAAAAACTGCTTGACAATTTAATTATATTAGAAAAAAAATTGAGAATATAATAGCCAGTAAGACTAAAAGCAGTCAGTAAGACTTTAGGTTGTCAATAAAGCTAAAAAAAAGTCTGAATTCATTTAGTACAGCTGAATTAGAGATTTTTAAGAGTATGCATGTTAGTCAAAAATTACCTATATAAAAAGAATACTTCATGTCTTATGAAAATGGCACAATAGTTAAACTAGCTGTTACCCCCATATTTTTGAAATTTGCAGTTCAATCATGGTCACCATATCAAGTTAGAAAGTTTATGAGTTTAGAATGCATTTAACTTTAACATTTTTTTTTAGCTTATTAAGTTATATTTCGACTGTGTAACTGTGCTTACAAATAAAAAACTCTATTTAGTTGTTATTTCTTTAAAAATACTGAAAAGCCTTAACTTGATAAATGTAGTTTGATAAAATTGTTTTAAAGTAACATTAAAAAGTAGAAAAAAGGTTAAATTTCAATCATAGTTTTATAGATTTTTTTAATATGCAAAGTTATTAAAAATAAGAGTGTAATTTATTTAGTCTAAGATATATGGCATTCATTCAGATTCATCAATTAAACCATTTATTCAAGTTCATCAATGAAACCAAAATAAAAATGCATGTTTTTTGATTCAAATTAAAAAAAATTTATGTAAAATTCATTACTTATGTTATAAATAGGTATGAAATAGAGAAATGAAAGAGAGTGGTCTTTTTACCCAAAGAAAGATGAATCAGATATTTAACACTTTAAAATATTATGCGGAATTGAATTTATTAACTGGCAACAACCAATAAAATTTTTTCTCTTCTCATGTTAGATACTATTTAGTGCTATTGTGGTAACTAAATCATCATTGAAAGCAGTAATTTTTTCAACAATCAATAATCAAGGTATCAAACTCTTTGCCAAAGAATTATTATTGACTTGGCTGTCACCTGAAATCGAATGGAATAATTTTATATCATTACTTTATTTTCGGTGACATAAAACTAAACCGTTTCTTTGTCTCTCCATTATTTGATTAAATTCTCAAAATACTTTTAGAATTAAAACATAAATTTTGTATCAATATTTTATTACAATATTTAAAATAATTAATGAAAAACATTTTTGTTAAGTTTGGTTTAGAACTTATACAGGGATAAACAAATAACTAAATTAAAATTTTTTTTTTTAATTATTTTTTCGTAGCCAACTGCTTATATTCTTTAAATGTATGTTGTACATACAACCTAATATTGTTGTGGGTGTAAAAATTTGAAAATATTTAGAATTTTGCACCTAGCACTCATATCATCATAAAAATAATATAATCCATTTTTAATAATATAAAATAATATAATTCATCATAAAAATAATATAATCCATTTTTTAAACATTTAATGAATTTTTTTTATTATATTTGTTTAGGGAATAATAAGAAACACTTTAATTATTCTATCAAATACTTCAGTTATTCTATCGAATACTTCAGTTATTCTATCAAATACCTCAGTTACTCTATCAAATACTTCAGTTATTCTACCGAATACTTTCAGTTTTTAAACATAAGCCATAAAATTTTTTATGGCTTATGTTTAAAAACTTGATGATTATTCCATTAACACAAAATAGATAAAACCTTTCTTATTTCTAAATAGTCTTTCTTTGTCCGATGCTTATGTGACTATATATGTTCTCACTCATGCAACTATATATGTCCTAAACTAATAGTATTTATATTGACGTTTTGTTCTATAAATAAACTAATAGTATTTATATTGACGTTTTGTTCTATAAATAAACTAATAGTATTTATATTGAAGTTTTAGTAATAGTAATAGTAATATTTATTGCTGTAACAATTACATATTTGTTTAAATATAAATATTTAAAAATAAAATAAATTGTGGAACGCGATGCAAGCATCGGGTTATAGACAGCCCACACAAATTAAAAAAACACAAGTTATGAAAAATCTATTCGCGCTTTGAAAACATTCAACGATGTTGCTTCAATGATTTCATTTGGTAACAAATTCCAATTTTTACAAACTCGATTGGTAAAAAAATTATATCTCGGTAAACATGATGGTATGTATTCTCTTTCTAGCCTGTATTTATTGTCCCTTACAGAAAAAGCCGGGCCTGAACTAGTCACGGATGATGCCGGTTTTGGATTTTTGTACCAATTTATTTGGTCTATATTTTGCTTGAATCTGTATTGTTGTATAAGATCTCCTCTAGCTCGTCTTTTCTCTAATGTTGTTAAACCCATTGCTTTCAGTCTTTTTTCATATGAAATCTTTTTAAGTTGTGGAACTAACTTCGTTGCTCTTCTTTGCACTTTCTCTAACTCATCAATATCCCGTTGTAAATAAGGCTGCCATGCAGGTATAGCGAACTCAAGAAGCGGTCTCACAAATGTCGTATATAGTGATTTCACCATTTCCACATCGAAGTATGTAAACGTACGTTTAATTAGACCCAAAGTTCTTTGCGCTTTTGCTGTCGCTGAAGTCACTTGATCATGCCATTTAAGGTCGGATGAAATAATCACTCCTAAATCTCTTTCACTTACTGTTGTTTTTAATTTATACTCTTTGCCATCGTGGTTCATACAATAACTCATACGTGGATTTTTTTTACCTAAATGCATCACCTTGCACTTTTCGATGTTCAACTTTGTCAACCAGATATCCGTCCATTTTACAAATTCGTTAATGTCATTCTGCAAAGACTCATGATCTTCAACATTTTTTATAACTTTGATAAGTTTACTGTCATCTGCATATAATTTGCAATTGGAATTAATAACTGATGGTAGATCATTTACAAATATCAAGAATAACAAGAGACCAAGCACAGAGCCTTGAGGCACACCACTAAAAATCTCAAGCCATGGAGACACGTCTACACCCATCACAACTCTTTGCCTTCTTTCTTTTAAAAAAGGCGATATCCAGTCATTTATTACACCCTTGATACCATATGCTTCACACTTTTTCAACAGTCTTTTATGTGGAACCTTATCAAAGGCTTTGGCAAAATCCATATAAATCATATCTACCGCTAAACTGTCACTCATGCTTGCTGTTAAAATGTCTAATGTTTCTAGCAAATTTGTTACACAGGCTTTATTTTTTACGAAGCCATGTTGATTTTTTGATAGCAATTTATTTTCCATCAGATGAGTCATTATTGCTTCTTTTATGAATGCGTCCATAACTTTGCCTGGTACAGATGTTAATGATACGGGTCTGTAGTTAAGCGGGTCTGTTGTATTTCCATTCTTGAATATTGGAGTAATATTTGCTTCTTTCCATTTGCTAGGAATTTTTCCTGTTTCAATTGATTTTCGGTAAAGAAATTTTGTTCTATAAATAAACTAATAGTATTTATATAATGTTTTGTTCTATAAATAAACTAATAGTATTTATATAATGTTTTGTTCTATAAATAAACTAATAGTATTTATATTAACATTTTGTTCTATAAATAAACTAATAGTATTTATATTGGCGTTTTGTTCTATAAATAAACTAATAGTAATTATATTGACGTTTTGTTCTATAAATAAACTAATAGTTTTTATATTGACGTTTTGTTCAAAAAATTGTTTAAATAAATCTAAGTGTTTTTGTCATAAAGTTTATGATTTTTAAAATTCTGATAAGATGTTGTTTTTGAGTGCATAATGTTCAGGATAATTTCAAACTATAGACTGCCTGTTTTTTGTCGCCTGTAAAATTATTTGTTCAAATGAACATATTATATCAAAATAGATCATTTGCGTTTATGAATAAGTTAAATAATCTATTATAACAAAATGCAATTAAAATTTTTATTTTCAAATTTAATTTAAATAAAATCAGAGAATTAGCATCACTGGAATAATTCATCATAATTAAGGACTACTAATTTATATTTTGCTATTAACTGTTTAAATATTTTTATTCTACATATGATTAGATGGATTTAATTAATTTAAATTTCAAAAACTTTTTCTAAATTTCATGTCTGACTTAATTAAATGCAAATGTAGAAACATGGCAAACAAAGCATGCATAGTTTATATGGTAAAACAAAGCATTTAAAAGCATTTAAAAAAATAATTATACACAAATAATACTGTCATCATGATAGCAAGAAGAGTCAAAAACTAATTAGACGATTGTATTTTGAAAGAATTCAAAGTCATTTAAAAATCTTTTAGATTAAAAAAAAAAAATTGTCATTTGAAGAAATTGTGATTTTGATATTTCTGTAAAGGATTTTTATAGTAAGAAGATATTTTATAATAAGAAGATATTATCATTAAATAATTTCTTCTTTGAACATTTTTTTTTTAGTTCTTTTAATAAATTCTTCATAGAATTTTTTTTTAATTTAAAGCCCAACTAGTTTATCAAGGCAGAATTTTTAGGGTTTCCAACTTCTTAAGTCTCCCATTTTTTTTGTTTTTTTGTTTATTGTTTTTTTGTTTTTTTGTTCACAAACTCACTCAATAAGAGCTAGCAATTACTGTTTAAGTTAAGAGTTCACTGAAAGACTGTTTAAGTTGTGAGTTTATAGAAAACTTAAAAGGGAGTTCACAGAAAGCATAGAAGGGAATTAAAGAAAGCATAGAAGGGAATTAAAGAAAGCATAGAAGGGAATTAAAGAAAGCACATAAGGGAGTTAAAGAAAGCATATAAGGGAGTTCACAGAAAGCATATAAGGGAGTTCACAGAAAGCATATAAGGGAGTTAAAGAAAAAACAGTTGGTAAAAGAAAAATCTGTATAAGTCATGAAAACATAAAAACCAGAAAAAATTTGGATGCAATAATGTGTCAAGGAATAAATTTAGATATTTTAATATTTTTAGAGTACAAAACAATATTAAGCTTCAGTAAGCTGAAAGATAAGTCATGTGAGATTGAATTTTTGCTGATGTAACAAGAGATAAGAACTTGCTTGAGCAGCTACTACATTAGTTAGTGTAATTTAAAGAACCAAAGCAATTTTGGCATAACAATTTCACAAATTACTGTTCTTAAGTTACAAAATGATGTTCTGGTTTAAAATGATTTTGAGTGGGTTGAAAAGATTTCAAATTTTCCCAATCAACAAAAAAATTTGAAATTAAAAGTTTATTTTCTATTAGTTAAATTAGTTTAAATTTCTTTATTTATTTAAAACAAAAAAATACTATTTGTTTTAAATAGGAAAAATAGTTTAATTCTTTAAGGGGCCGGGTTTGTGACCTAGATATCTTTTTTACTTAACTGCATGTCTTGAGCATCATATAACTAATACTTGTTCTATACCCTATGTAACCAACTTCAAGTTTCTTTATTACCTTTTTCTTTTGCAGCTGCTACCTCTTTATGCTGATACCCAAAATCTTTTTGCTCAACGTATCTGAACTACCTTAATCTTTTCTTGGCAAACTCTGATACACTCACTATTCCTAATCTCTTTTTTCTTGTCTTGTTAGAGTCACACCACACATCCATCTGATCATTTTTTCTTTTGGTGAATACTATCTTAATATTAAAGTTTATGTAAATATCAACTTATTTCTCCATGGAGTAGCCTTGTCAAGGTTTGTCTTTCAAATTTATAGAGTTGAAAGAGGGTTGTAACCATAACTAAAGTAACCTACTCAACCTGTAGTGACCTTTTTGACCTTGGGGGAGGAGGGGGCAAATTAATATATATATATATATATATATATATATATATATATATATATATATATATATATATATATATATATATATATATATATATATATATGTACAGGTATTACAAATTGAAATATTACTTATTAAAATAACACATTTATATTTATATACATAATACATGCCAGTATTTAGTAAATTGTAAATATATAAATAAACAAAATATAATATATAATGTTTTATGATTTTTTCCTAGCCCCCATTATTAACCCCAGCTAAATCTTATAATTTTTTGGGGCCAGTGAATTGAGTTTGTCAAGAAGCTCTATATTTTGCAGGGTCTAGGGCCCACACCACTTACTAGTTAAAAGATTCCTTTCTTTGCAAACAATATGAAAACTCAAATTAAAAACAAAATATTTCTTATTTTAGAGGTTTGTCAATTAAAAAAGACAGTTTCGAAATCATTATAATGAGTCAGTTTTTATTGATTATTGGAGTAAGTAGGGTGTTAAGGTGTAAATAGGGTGTTAAAACTTACAAAAAGTTATTGTTAAAAACTCCAATATTTTTTGTTTATATTCTCTTGAACTATTGCATGAATTGAGAAATGTTTGTTTTAAAAGTATGTTTTTTTGTTTTTTTTTAAGTATATATATATTTTTTGAAAAAGTATATAATTCTTATAATACAGTGTTTGGTTAAAATATTCATCTTAAATATTCAACCATATTTTCTAAGTATATATAAAAAGTAAAAAATCTCAAAACAAAATCAACCTGGCCTGATTGTAATTATAATTGTCTCCATGTAAAGTTAAAGAATTAATAGTCATAACACCAAGTTTTTGCATAACAACCATGAACCTAAAGGTTTAGGCTTAATTTGTAAACATTATGTAGTTATTTTTATTTCATTTTAAGGCTAGAGGATTAAGGGCTCATATATAACATATATAAGCCCTTATGTTGATGGTATCTCTAGTAGACATAAACTCATTTAATATGTCAACTTGTTGGCACCAATAAATAGTTTTCATAAAACTTTACATAATGTTGTAATTATAATATTGTATTATTTTAAGAAATTCTTTTGCAGGTTATCGCCAGTCTCCATATTATCAACCTTTCTTTTGCAGGTTATCGTCAGTCTCCATATTATCAACCTTTCTTTTGCAGGTTATGGCCAGTCTCCATATTATCAACCTTTCTTTTCCAGGTTATCGCCAGTCTCCATATTATCAACCTGTTGATGAAGAAGTAGAAGCACATCATTTAAAGTTTTTATCTCAACCTCCTGCTAAATTTTTTGAAGCCGTTGCTCGTTTTAATGCAAATATTTCATACAGCGGTTTGTTGCATGCTGTGACACAAGATACATTGTTTGCAGAAAATAAAGAAAAGTTAATTGTTCAAGGATTAACATCCTTGCTTGCTAATGATTGTAAGTTGTTTTTTAATTTCTAACTAATGATAGTAAGGTTGTTTTTTGTTTGGTAACTATTTTATTGTTGGTTATAAATACTTATAAATTATTAATTTAATAAATAAATATAAATTTGCAATATAAAAATATAAGTAGTATAAATTCTTTTATTTTTTTTTTTTAATATTTTAATACGTTCCCGTTTTGTAGACGATGTACTTACCATTCCGACCGAAGACTTAGAATCTTTTTTTCATGCTCTGCGTAGATTAGTGGCTTCCAAAGCTGGTTTTGAAGCATTTACTACACTGCCAAAGTATTATTTAAACCTTTTTTTTTTCTGTTTGTTTAGAATATTCAAATCATATCTGAGTTTTGGATATGACTGTGTTAATTTAAATATTGTGTTTAGATATTGTTAAAGTTTGGATCATGTAAGTATGACATGTTGTAAATTGATTTTTCAGGTTTAGAGAACGTGTTGGTGTAAAAGTAGTAAAAGCTTTAAAACGTAATAATGATGGTGTAACTCATGCTGCTATTGATATGCTATCAGCTCTAATGCAGGTTACTAATAATTGATTAAGCTAAGAATTGACTTAATTAATTCAAATGACATCAAAATTTGATTTTGATTCATAATTTGGTTATGTTGCATGAGTTTTTATTTTTGTTTCATTATAGCCTATGCATGAAAATTATAATTTACGTCAAGAACAGTTGAATAAATCTTCTCTTTTGTATTCGAAAGCATTTCTAGAGGATTTACTTGATTTATTTAATACACATGTAGTAAGTAAAACTTAGTTTTATTTTTTTGGTAAAAATTATTTTTAGATAAAATTGGTTTCAAAGCCTTGTCAGTTATGTTACTCACAGTCTGTCTTGTTTATTTAAAAACTGTTAAAGTAAAAACTAAAGTAAATTAAATAATAAACAATAAATAAAATAATAAATAGTTAAGTAATTACTAAATTTTGAAAAAAATCAAAAATCTAGTTTACATAAGTTTTTGTTTGATATGCACAAGAATTAATAGATATAAAAAGACCAACTAGTGATTCAATTTTTGTAAAATGACAACACAGTTTTTAGAATCTTAACTAAAACAAATGAGTTTCAAACTTTAAGTTTAGCAATAAATTTATAAAACAAATGAGTTTCAAACTTTAAATTTAGCAATAAGTTTATAAAACAAATGAGTTTCAAACTTTAAATTTAGCAATAAGTTTATAAAACAAATGAGTTTCAAACTTTAAATTTAGCAATAAGTTAATAAATCTAAGTAAAAATAGTCTATAATCTATAACTCAAAATCTAAAACTCAAAAACAAAAGCTGAGAACAATTATTGGCATATTTGAAAAATGCTTGTTAAATTAAAATTATAACAAAAAAAAAATTACAGGAAACAATTATTTGTTGTTGTTGACCAGTGTTATTGATTAAATATTTTTATAATATATTTTAAATTAAATCTGAAAATACTTTTCAATTTTATAGCTTCATGATTCTGGTGCTCTTGTTATCTCTGCTTTGCTTGATTTTCTTACATTTGCTCTTTGTCCACCTTACAGGTAATTTGTACCTATGATATACTGAAATGATTAGGTAATGGTATTTTTATGTTTAATATTTTACGTTACTTTGTCATGACTTAATTTAAAAGTAACTTGACTCATTCATAGATGGAAAAATTTGCTAAATTGAGGGAGTTGTAAAAAGACATAGTCATAACCTTTGAACAATAAAATATAAGTAAATCAAATTAAAAAACTCTAGATAAATTTAATATATAATTAAGATCCACTCATGTTAGGTCAGAGGAGTTGAGCTCATAGTGGTAGAAATAGTTTAAAACTAATAATTAAAATTTGATTTATTAAAAAAATGTTTTCTCAATTTAATTGCTTCTCTATGAAATGAATTTAGACAGCATGAAATTAGTATATTTTATATAGTTTAAGAAATGTTCAAAAAAGTAATTACAAAATTTTTTAAATATTCTTTACTTTATAAGTTGAGTTTTAAATAAAAAAAATTTACTTGGATGACTACTTGTTTTAAACATCTTTTTCCGGATATTTCCGAAATTCTGGATATTTTTCTCAACTTTTGATTTTTCTAAAATGTTTTCCATACACGCAAGTTTAAATATATATTTTTGTAATGTATTTGTTTTTTAAGCTTTTTTACTCATCACTCATATAAAATCAAAAAAAGTTTTAACAAAAATTGGAAATAAATCAAAAATAGGAGGAATTTAAAGGAAAATAAATTCCAGATTTTTTCTGAGATTTTACCTAAACAATTTTCCAGATTTTTTCAATATGACTTGGATAATCTATGTTTAAAACTACGTTATTATGTTTAATTTATTTGCGCATATAATTAATTTATTTTAACTACCTAATGAGGATGCGTCAAATAAGAATAATTGGACATTTATAATAAGTCCAGCAAACATCCCGAGCAAAACGCGTGCGCATTGGATACTTTTTAAAAAAATCAAATTTCTATGATTATCAGAGTAACAACCTTTTAATAATATTAAATTTAATTTTAATAATTATAAAATATTGAAAAATTATTGTTGGAAAATTTTAATGAAATTTACCTTGATTAATAATTAGTTTATAATGAAATTGCCTTGGTTTGATTTGAATAAATGTAGATTTTTTTGAATCAAGTCTCTTGTATGTATGTATGTATGTATAAAAAGAGCATAAATTACCAATATATCTATACAAAATAATAATTTAAAAGAAAAAATATACCATTTTACATAAGAAGCAAAAAAACATTTAAGGAGAGGGAGAGGGAGATAAACTTTAATAAGAAAATTCTTTTTTTAAAAAACCTTATTTAAAATTCACAAAAACAGTCCACTTCTATAAACCTATGGTATGGACCAAGCACTCCTGTGGGGTCCTAATTCAGTTTTCTAAATGCCAAAATAAAAAGTAAAACTTATAAAATTCCAAAAATTTATTTTTATAATAACCTATAAATACTACAAATCACTTATTTATTTTAGCAGATGTTACTCCTGTTACTGTTGGGGCAGCACATGATGATGTTGTTGTAACAACTGTACTGGCTATGAGAAATGTTTGTTAAAATGTGTTATCTAATTTACACAATTTATCTAATTTATAAAAAGAGACTCGACTTGACACCACTTGACTGGCAAGGACAACATTCTTTTTCTTAACAAAGCCATGTCACATTATAGAAAAGTACACCCTTGACTAGCAAGGACTGCACTCTGGCTGTAAACTAAGCCATGTCACAACACTTTGAACCATGAAAAAAACATAATAACCCCTTGCAAGCTATAAACACATAACATAATGACACATCACAAACATAGAAATCTTTCATATATAAAAGATATTTTCACACTTACAAAATACAAACCCATATAACCTAACACATATAAACACAATAAATAACACATAGATATAATTAAATATATAAATGAAGAAAAATATTTAATTTAGAAACATTTACAAATACAACCTTATTTTTGTAATATTTCTTTAATGGCATACCTTGTAATGAATGTTTATCAACTTTAAAAAACAAACATGTTCTTAAAAATAAAAATTACAGATTAATATACTTTAAATACAATTGAATAAAGACTTGAACTATGTTATCATTAAAATGCATGAATTAAATAAATTACCTTTTACTAGTTAAGTTAAAGTTATTTAAAGTTACTATAAAAAACTTATAAAAGTTACTATAAAAGTTTTAAAACTTTAAAAGTTACTAATTTAATTTATTATTACTACAGTAGTCATCAAATTATCTATTATAAAAGCTTTAGATCTTATTACAGATTCACCAGATATTAACAGACTATAAAGATTTAAGATTACCTTATCCTGTGGTCAAAAATATAAATATAAATATTAAAAGGTTAATCATGCTAAATCTTAATTAAAAAACTTGGTATTAAACGCACACAAATTAGTAATAGCAGCAGCGTTAAATTAAACATTTATTATAAGCGATATTTATATTATATAAAAACAGTTTTTATAATAAATTGTTAATCGACATCAAATCAACTTGCACAACTTTTGATTTCATATATTATAATATATTGTATAGTGTATTGTATATTATATTACGATACATTATGCAATATATTACAATATATGAAATAAAAATCTGATGTTAGTAGTAGCATTAAATAATCAAAATTATGGTTTAAAAATGATTTTGTTTTATTATGGCTTAAAATTTGTTTTATTTTACATTAGTATATATATTAGTATATATGTATATTATATATGAATATCATATATATTATTATTATTATTATTATTATTATTATTATTATTATAAATATTATTGTATATATATTATTTGTATATTCTTTTTTAGTGAAACCACTGATGGTCAACAGTTTGACATTCTTCTTGAAATGGTTTCAGGTTTAACTGAATTTTGTTTCACACAATATGTTATTAGTAAATTTCAATAAGTTTAAGAATTATAAGAGTGTTGAGTATTTTATTTTAGGTTTGGGTAGATGTTTGTTTAGGCTGTTTCAGGTAACATTTATATTTTATTTTATTTAACAGTATTAGTAAATAAAAGCAAATTTCACTAAATTAAAATTTGATTTTTACTTTTAGCATCCATCCATAGCTATTGTCAAAGGTGCAGGAATGGTAATGAAAGCTGTTATTGAAGAAGGTTCTGATGAAATCGCAACACGAATGCAAGATCTTGCACTTGCAGAAGGTGCACTTCCTAGGCATTTACACACTGCTATGTTTACAACAAGTACACTTGATAATAGACTTCTTACTAATAGGTAATTCAATTATTAGTTAATATGATTTACTTTGGTATCAGTGGTTTGAATCATTAATTACATTTTATGCTATATATATATATATATATATATATATATATATATATATATATATATATATATATATATATATATATATATATTATATAT